CCCTTCCCCCTCGCCAGGCTCATGGGCAGCCTTGCTCCCGTCCCGTTGGTTGTCCTGCCTCCCAAGCACTGGCCATCGCCATCGGTCAGCACCACTGTCTGGCTGCGGGGTTCCTGTCCGCCTCCTCGCAGAGGCGGGGTGGGGGATGCCCGCCGAGGGCCGTGTCACGCGTCACTGCCCCTCTCAGTCCCCACCTCCTCCCTCACATGGCTCCAGCCCAGGACTGGGTTCCGTCAAGACAATGCTGTCTCGAGGGCCCAGTACCAGGAGCTCCACGTAGCCAGTGAGGAAATGGGTTCTGTGGGCGCACAGGGAGGAGAGGACGGGACTGGGACACCCCCAGATATCTCCCCTTGAGCTTCACAGAGCCTAGCGGGAGGGGGTGACAGGTTCCCCACCCTCCCAGGCCAGCCTCTCAACACTTCTGTGCTCCCCCAAGTGGCCTGCTGGCTGGGGCCAGGGAGGCCACACGTACCTGCCACCGGGTCCCTAGTTGCCCGCAGCCTCCATATCCCCATTGACATAATCAGGCTCGCTGCCGTCCTCCTGGTCACTGCCTGCCCGGGAAGGAGGCCTGTCGGCTGGTGTGAGTTCTGTGGACCCCGGGCAGGTGTGTGGTCAGACTGACCCTGGGACACAGGCCAGGCCCCCACCTTGGACGGGGATCCTGCCACCGTAGGGACTCACCTGGGGGCCGCCTGCAGGCCACCCTCTGAGACTGGTCCTCGGGGCCCGGGGCCCCAGCCTTCCTGGACATCCGCCACTGCTGGATGGAGTCTACATTCTGGTAGTCATCGGAGTCCTCACCACCTACAGAGGGGCATGCAGCACAGACCCCTCCACCAGGGGCCCTGCCCTGGGCATCCCTCTGTCACCCGGGCTGAGCGTGCCGCCTCCCCCACAAGGAGACCAGAGCCAGGGCTTTACTACAAGGCTCCAGGGAGGACTCGGGCCTTCCAGCCCCTCACCTGGGACCTCACCTGGTCCACAGCTTTCCACTGGCGTCGGCCGGCAGACGAGAAAGTTCTGGTAGTCATTGCTGGAGTCTTCCGCACCTGCCAGAGGCCCCGCCCACTGAGCGAGCTCCTCCCCTCTCCCTCCTCCCTTGCCCTCAGGCGCCGGTCCTGCAGCCCCCTGGCCCCCCATCCGTTTCCTGGACTGTAGCAGCTGGGCACCTCAGGTGAAGCTCAGAAGCTCTCTGCCCAGGGGCCCAGCTGGGGGAGGGGGTGGGTGGGCAGTGTGTCACCATAGTGGGGCTGAGCTCGCACACACCCACAGCCACCCTGGTGACTGAAGAGACTGAGAGTCCCTCCCAGCCAGCAGAGACCCCTCACCACCCCCAGTGTCCCCTCTGCAAAGCCAGATGTCCCAGCTTCCTCGGTGCTGGCTGGACTTGGTGCCTGTCAGCGTGACAGCCATGCCTGGGTTTCTCCCCTGTCCCAGACATACTCCCGGAGTGGACTGGGGGGGGACAGGGCAGCCTCCCACCTGGCCCTCCCCAGTGGGGCACACTCCTCTCTCCTTCCCCCTCCCACTGACCAGCTGGCTGTCCTTCCTTCTCCGACCGCCCAGCCAGCTCCATCTCCAGCTGACCCACGCCCCTCTCCTCGCCCACTTCAGGGCCCGCGGGTCTCAGCTCCCATGCTACTTCACGTCCCACCCCCCTTGCCCTCTGCCTCACCTTCTAGGGGCTTCTGAGAGCTCCCCCAGTTATAATAGTCCGAAGCGATGGGGTCTCTGGCCAGGAAGACACAGCACAGGTTGTGGGCAGGCCCATGGTGGG